ATCACAAAGGTTATGACTCAAGGAACGGATCATCCAATTATTTCACAGATCATTGGTAACTAAAATTATTCTTGCAGTTCGAGCACTCAAGTTTAAGCATACTAGGATAGCCGTAGTAAACATAAAATTCCCCTAAATTAACTAACCAAACCTAGCATTCAGTTAGCGCTTATCATTAAACGCTGGGCACGATAGCGTTCCATACAAATCAATGATAACAATAAAAACCAAGGAAATATGCTTGAAACACAATTCAAAATTATTGAGATAGCTACAATAAATTAAATTATGATTTGTCGATCCTACTCCTAGGCATACAAAAGCATCCAAGTCTCACAAATACCAATGGTCCACCTAGTTGCAACTAAATTCCAATGGTTCGTGTCAAATACGTAACATACAACCAAATGATAGCAATAAAAAGAAAATACACAACCAAGTTGTCAATTTAATTGGTATTCACTTTCATAAAATGAAAACAAGAATAAAAAAATAACTCAAACTATAGACAAGATTAAATTAAAACCAAAACCTCACATGTAAAATAATTGAATTAAATCCCTTGAATCAGAAACAAAAGGTTTAGCTACTCATAATCATAGACATGATAACTAATTTATTCATAGAAAAATAGTACCAAGTCTAGAAGAATTGAAAACTCGGAGAAACGGAGACAACCCTGACCTCCAACGCCAAAAGAAAAAGCTGCACACTCTTGTTGTTTCTTCAAAAAAAAAACGACGGCCAAAACAAGAAAAACCTGCGGCCTTTATATAGAATTAGGTCAGCCGCAACTATTAAAACAAGGGTCAAAATTGCAGAATTGGTCCTCTAACTTTTCAGCCTCTCAACAATTGGTCCAAACTTTCTTCAATGATAAAATTCAGTCCATAAAGTTTCTTATTAGCAGCTTCTTCTCCCAACAACTTCAATATTTTGTAATTAGGTCCATCATTGGAGTAAACTTCTCCCTTTGCTTAAGTTGGATGATTTTTTTCAGTCCCTTTTTGTATCAATTAGCTCCAAAAAGTGGCAACCTCCGATTTCCAGTTCCTAACACAAAACATTAATAAAACTTAATGAATTAAAACCATCCAAGTCCATAAACTCATAAAATAATAACAATTAAAGTATAATTTATGGACTCTATCACTCTGACCACTTGAGGGATGTTTTTGTCTAACAAATGGGTTCTTCGACAAGGATAATGTTGCTCTCTGGTTGCCACGCCCTGGTATATTGGCTTTTGGTTGTCATTTGAAAATGAGCATGCTTAACCATCTTTTAAGTATATCAATCTGCATGTGTCAATGAAATTTTTTAATGATTTTGCAGGGAACGTGTCACAAGGAGCATTCTGGATTTGAGGGTGCATGCACTGCTTACCCCCTCCAATTTGATAACTCCTACTTTAAGTGGTTCAAGTGCTTTTAGGAGGAATAAATACAAAGTTTCAAATGTGTTTATTGTGTTCAGATGTTCTAATTTATTAGTCTTGTTTAACAGGCAGTCTACTTTTTTTTTGGTTTGCCTTGTTTCTGGCTTTACAGGCGCGGAAAAAAAAACTCACTCCCAATCTCGCAATGATAAAAGAAATCCCCAAATAAAATCCGGATTTGTCCAATGAAATCATCCGTGGTAGTATGAATTTCGACCTACAAAAATTTTGATTTATCCAACAAAATCCGGTGGAGTTTTTGCCGCCTTAGTGTTTGAGATTCTTTTTTGGGGGGTTTTGAAGGAATTTTGGAGGTGAATTGCTGCGGATGGTTTTCCGCTGCTGCTCTCCTTGATTCTATTCCTCTTCTTCATTATTGGCCGCTTGGCATTGCTACCGTGTGTAAGAATGGCTGGAGAAGAACAAGATAGTGATGGCTGGCAATGATCGATAGAGATGGCCTGCAAGGAACCACTGAGAAACAAAACATCGGCGTCACAGAACTAGCCTTTCTTTTTAAGGTTTCGCGGCCACGTTCTATGCAATTTAATTCATGTGTTGATAATATCATAGTTCATGCTTTTCAATTGGATTGTAGTGTACTTCTATTTTATCAACAGAAAAACACATATCATCTGGAATTAAAAAATACACTTAAGGCAAATTGTATTTTCGCTTTTGCTTTTAGTCAGGTTGTGGCCTTGAATACTGAGATTTTTCTTGTTCTTGCTGCCGAGTTTTCCCTGTTATTGAATTTTCTTTATAATGCTCACTGTGCCACAACAATGTAACTAACTTGCTTTCTGGGTTTGCCTCAGGGTTTTGGAAATTTCCACCTTATGATATACTAAATGAATTTCAGAAGGGTCTTAGCCACATTGCTGTTGTGTATAGAGATCTAAACAAGACAAAAGAGATAGCAAAGAAAGCGGAAGGTGAAAATCTAGCAGCTCTTCTTTATATTGTGCTACAAAGTGACTCTGCTGTTGATACATTCCTACTTGTCTCTTGGAATTTTTGCCAAAGGCTAATCTATCTGCACAAGAATGCCTTGCGTAATGTCTATCCTTTTGATTTGAGCATGTGAAATTGGACTGTTTTGAGTTGCAACTTCTCCACTATATTCCTTTTATTTGTTCCTGATTGATAGACATATATAGTATATGACAACCTACTTCTAGCTTCTAATATGAACACCTGAAAAAATTGCAGACAAGCAAAATGCTGGGTTTAAGTCTGACTTGAAAGATGCTAGCAACAAAGATGGAGAACAAGCAATGAAGAGAAGTCCTCCACCTACTCCTGCTTTCAAGAAGAGACACCGAGGTTGTTCATCTTGCATTTTGGATTTGGAGAACTCCCCGATTCCTGAGTTCCCTCCCAATGAAGTAGTACTCGGTGTAATTACCATGGAGGATGTCACTGGGGAGCTTCTTCAGGAATAGTCTTTGAACTAGAACTGGAGAAACCATTTCTTTTTTCCGCTCTATTGGAGAAAATAAACTTTTAGGGCTTGTAGCTACTACTCACCTTATGACGAGTCCATGATTGATTTGTAGTTTGGATTGTAATCCTGCATCCGGGCTTTTGTCTCTAAGAAACTGTACTCTTCTGTAAGTACAAGCTACAGCTGCGAATACCATATTTACTCTAGTGTCACATACTAAAGATGACAGCCAGTAGTAACATTAAAATTCATGTATTCGTTCAGTGCTTTCTTGATTAAAAATGATGCAAAATCTCAAAATAAATTTTTGAGATTCAGTGCAGTTTTTACTAATTAACTGGCAGATTAGGGGGTGGGGTGTAAATTTGGATCATGGGGCTACATTGATCATGCTTACACTGCTTCAGGTGTATATCTTGATGTTTGATTCCGTTGCTTTAATTTGTACGACTTTGATAAATTTTTGGATCCCCTTTCAACAATTATGTCAATCTCTACTTTTGTTTCAGAGCAATTATGGCAATGCATACTTATCTTCGTATGACTGTTTTGTTAGCAATTTGCATACTTTCATTTCTATCAGTCTTATGATTTGAATTTTTATAATTTAACACATCTTTCGTGCGCTTTCTTAAAATACAACACTTTGTTGAATTAGTGCATTATAACATATTGGGATATCAACAATAACTAATTACAATTTACAAATAAATATAGAATAAAATATTGACACTAAAATCAAAATTGTATATAAACAAAACCAAAATTATATTATTTGGTTTTGATCATTTTTACAAAACCAAAATCCAAATTCAAAACAAATTTTTATGAAAATTAAAATTAATATCGCAAATTATAAATAGAATGTCTATGTACACAATTTTATGATGTTTGCCCAGTGGAAGAGTTTTCACATATTATGTATCTGTTCCATTGGATTTTTACTCTCACAATGATCTATTTCATTTGTAATCAATTGATTTAAAATTTCCTTTTTCAAAGTCCATTAGGTAAAATTGTTTACATATATATATATATATATATATATATATATGTATTTCCTTAGTCAAAACATTTTAAGATTTTCCAAACATTCTATGTAATTTAAATTCACCATCGTAACTTATCATTTTTAATAACGAGAGTGGTGTAAAATGACTTGACAAAAATACTGGTCGCGCAACGCACAACGGGCACAAGACTAGTAGTTCAATTAAACTAACATGAGAGATTATAACCATCATTTTTTTATTTTTTTTGAAAAGGCGCCATCATCTTTTATTCTCCACAAACCAATTATGTTCTTCCCAAATTTTACACGGTTCTGATGCAACATTCCTTCAACATGTGACAGTTTCCACAAAAATAAAAAATAAAAATATGATATTTTTACAACAATACAAAAGTTTGCTACTTTCGGTCTTTATATAAACCATAAGCTATTCCACTAGAAACATAACAAAGACGCAGGCCAATTCCAGAAAATTTAATTTCCAGAGCACCTAAATCTCCCTGGTTTAGAACTCTTTCCCAACTAGAAAATAATCTATAAAACTCCCATTGCTTCAACACCTTGTGATAATATAATGATGACATTCTATTACGCTAAAACAATTAATCATATGTAGGGATCAACACAATCATTATCATTAGAACCTTAAGAAGGAAGGCTTGAAAGTACACTTCTTTTCAAAGTTCTGAACAAATCAATCTCTATGTGTTGATTAATGATTTTTCTTTTCCGTTTTTTCTTTTTTTAAATAAAAGCAAAACAGTACGAAGTCAGTGCTGCTTGTAAGCACGATGGTGAATGACTGAAGATTCAGCTGACGATATTAAAAAGTGTAATCAATTTTATCTAATTTGCTAGTTGAAGGACACACACATTTACAATGTTCTTAATTTTATTCAGATTTTGACTTATTTCTCAGTTGCCACAGCTAGTTCTTATATAGACAACTTGAATCTACTCCCCGGGCAGTGTTTTTTTCACTCAAGAAATTATATTGATGTTTTGAGAGGTGGACTACAATATTAAAGCATATAAATATAGTAAAATATATGTACATCCGAATGAGATTTCCGGTTTTCCACAACTGAAGGAAAATCATCCGGCTAATGAAACTTGTGGCATTCCATCAGCGTCATTTCACCACCGGTGATAGGGTCAAACTTGCATCTGTAAAAGCTTCCATCGAATCCAAGTATCATCAGCGTATGCTCTTGATTCCCAAAGGCAACAACATGTGGACAACCTTCCGGCAACAAACGAAACTGAGCCACAGACCATTTGGAACACAAATACTTAGGCCAAAGACTTCTCATGGAAAAAGATAACAATGAGCCAGCAGATGAAGAAGTTGCTAAAACCTTATCCGAATGACGATCCAAATTTCCGCTCTTAAGGCTAAAAACATGAACAGTTCCCTTGTCACTAGACACTGCCAACCATTCGGCCGACGGGGAGAATGCGAGACTGTGAATCTCAGCTCGGTCTGAACCCCGCCTTAACTCGCGCACGAGCTCGCCATCGTCCGTGTTGAAAACGCGAACCAGAGTTCCTTTTGTGCTCGCAGTAGCCATCAACTTGCCATCATTGGAGAGTGCCAAGCACGCGATCTCGGAATCGTGCACCATAATGAGCTTAGTTTTCTTGGAAGGGCCATTATAATTCTCAACCCTAACCTGACCTTTTCGCTGTCCTGGACACGCAAGCACAAAGGAATATGTACCCTGCGATAGGGCACAGAGTCCCTTAGGGTTGGAAACCGTCTCGATTTCATCCAACGGTTCCAAACAACCCGGAAAATCGGACATAAAGATCTTGTGCTCAAGAACTACAACAATCTGTTCCCTTCGGAGGCGCACCCCGCGCACCTTCGTCCGGAACGGGAGTTGTCGAAAGCACTTGCTTCCATGATCGTCCCAGATCATCACCACTTTGTTGTACTGAGGGTTACTCCGGCCGCCCACTAAGGCTAGAAAATTGCTACAGAAATACATCTCGACGGTGCCAATGCCACCGGGGACATTGAAGTCCCGGCGAAGAAGCCCCCGGAAGGGGTCGCATTCGAAAATTCGGAATCCGCGATCAGTCCCTGCGGCGAAACACCTGGTGTCCTGGTTGAATGACACGTGGAGTAGCCGCGGAGGAGGAGCCGGACGATCCATGGAGTTGCGAGTATTATTCGGGCCTCGATTAGGGCTGAAGGCCGTCACCGGTTTTGTTGGCGTCGTCATCTGTATCGGTCGGGACGTTGTGGTGGGGATGTTGCTGTATTGAGTATATGAATTAGAAGGCTTAGGGTTTAATCGAAGAGGAGAGAGAAAAGGTTGAAAAAAGACACTTTGGTTTTGAATGAGTTCTCTAATCATGGACACATGCGGAGATATAATCTAATGCAATAAAATAAAATAAATAAAACACAAAAACTATACTTTTCATTGTCACTTTCGTCTAATTAAATCAGTCCTCCACAATTTACTAAAATATCTTAAATAAGGTGGTTTGAATTTGTATAAAAATTGCCAAAGCGCTAAAACAAATTGAAGTAAGCTGGGGGATTTATGAGAAATATCACATCATCTTGACATATTAACATTTTGCCCTTTGCACTAATTCCTCTGCTCTTGAGAGATAGACTATTGAGAGGCTTGATTTCATCCATATCTGACATTACTTACAAAATGAAAAAATAAAGTAATCTTTATAGTTCTTGTAGATTTTAAATTAAAAGGCTCAAATAGCAGTCGAATATACTTCTTAGTTGAATATAAATTTGATCCATTTAATTTCCTATACGTTATAATTTTCCATACATTAATTAGAAGTTGACGTTTACTTGGACTAAATAGTTTTAGTTTGATCTTGACTCGGTTCTTAGGTTTATATATGAATGCGTGCGTGGAAGTATATTTTGTAGTCAAATTAAATGGTTCATGTCGATAACCCAAGATGGGGTACATTGTCCAAGTTATAAAAGGTTATACTTTTCAAACTTGTATTGAATTACTGATTATCAATAAGATCAACTATTATATAAACCTAAGTTTCGCTTCGTTTAATAACAAGCTTAAAAGCTTCTCAACTCTATAAAAACGTAAGCAATTTACTTTGAGAACTAAACTGCAAAAAAGAAAAAAAAGAAAAAGAAAAAGAAAAAAGAACACACACACACAGGGGGAAGAAGATGATTTAATCACTTCCGTTACAAAATTTCCATTGCATGTACATACCTATACACACATTCAAAAGATACAGACAGGGAGGATTTTAGTGATGCAAGTTGGCTCTCTTAGCACAACTTTGATGACTTTTTAATTGATCTCTCATTAATTTCACACAATTGGGAGACAAAATTTTATCATTCATTCATTGTTGATGGTTTGGTTGTGGATGCCAAATGCTCATCTCCCGACTTGAAAAGAGACATTCTACGAAGACATTTTCAAAAATAAAATAAAATAAAATAAAAACAAAAAGAAAAAGACTTTTCTTTTTCCCTTAAATTGGACAAAGAACATTTCTTTTTCAATTAATTAATTCCATGAAGACTTTTGGAATTTTGAAATTGACTTACCTACAAAGACGAAAAACAGTAGTAAGTACTAAACAATAAACCTGTATATCACCGGACCTGATGCATTGATATATACAAGTGAGCCTGTACCATGCCTAAACAAATATCTACTTCCAAAAGCTAAAAAATAAACCATAGGATTATGGGAAGCATTTGTAATAAAACTATATTTCTTCTTCTCTTATGCTTTCTGTTGATCATCACCCAAATTCAGCTTGGCCACGCTCAGAATGCAGGCTGCATTGCTCGCGAAAGGCGAGCTCTCGTGGATTTCAAAGGAAGCTTGGTTGATAATGCGAGTCGTTTGTCATCATGGACTGGCGAGAATTGCTGCGATTGGGACGGCGTTACTTGTAACAATCTCACTGGTCGTGTGGAGAAGCTTGATCTTCATACTGATGATATCAAATTTGAGTCCGACAATTGTGTGGGAGGTCAGATCGATCCTTCTATTCTCAAGTTAGAGCACTTGCGGTACCTGGATCTCAGCTTGAATTGTTTTTCGGGTATTACAATTCCAACATTTTTGGGATCCATGAAAAATTTGAGATATCTCAACCTCAAGGATGCAGGATTTTCCGGGGAAATTCCTCCTCAACTTGGAAATCTTTCTGCATTGCAATATCTATATATTGGTGAAGCAAGTTCTGAAATGGTCGATAATTCCTTAAGTTCCAAAACTCTAGGGTGGATTACAAGACTGACTTCCTTAAACTCATTGGATCTCTCAACAACCAATTTGAGTGAATGCCTTGATTGGTTGGATATGGTAAATTTGCTTCCTTCTTTGTCATACTTGAATTTAAGCAACTGCGAACTAGTTGATCCTGTTCATTCTCCTTTGTTTCGTTCTAATCTCACATCTCTTGTCTCCCTTGACATCGGAACAAACACTTTAGAGTCTGCCTCAATACCCAGGTTGTTTGATCTTTCTAGTAATCTTGAAGTTCTTAGACTAGAATCCAATCAATTCCAAGGCCCAATTTTTTTCAAACTAGAAAAGTTCACCTCCTTGTCTTTCCTCGACTATTCCGGAAACTCTTTCAATTCTTCAGATAAACTAAATTCACTATGTAATCTTACTAGTCTCATGTATGTGGATCTAAGTTACAATCAACTTGAAGGGTCACTTCCTGTTTGCCTTGGAAATTTGACATCTCTCAGGGTATTTAACTTGGGGAACAACAATTTTAGTGGAACAATACCTAGTCAGTTAGGTCATCTCAAAGAACTAACTTATCTTTGCTTGTCTTCCAATACCATCAACTCCTCCATACCCTCTGAATTTGGAAATTTCACGGAGATGGAAACTTTGTTACTTGATGGCAATCAATTGTTTGGTGCCATTCCTCCAACTCTAGGGCAGCTTACCAAACTACAAACTCTGGATCTTTCCTCCAATTCATTGGTTGGAGAGGTGTCCGAGATCCACTTCACGAAACTAAGATCTTTAAAATCCTTGGCGCTCTCAAGGAATCAGCTTCTCACTCTCAACGTGAGCGCGCAATGGATTCCTCCATTCCAACTTGTGCACATAGGGATGGATTCTGTCTTCATCGGGACCGAATTCCCTCAATGGCTTCGAACCCAAAGGAATGTTGAATGGTTATACATGAATAATGCCAACATCTCAGGCACAATACCTGAATGGTTCTCAACCGTTTATTCTGTTCTCACAGATTTGGATCTATCCGACAATATGATCCACGGAACTTTGATATCGATTCCACCAGGTGTAGTGAACATAGAAATGTCCCGCAATTCATTGACTGGTTTTTTTGGGAATGCCAATTATTATAACACAGCAAATTCATCGATCCAGTCCCTTTCGCTTGATGGCAATATCGTCGGAGAAATACCTGACCAACTCTGCAACTTAACATCTCTAACATCACTATTTCTTTCCAATAACCATCTGACAGGGAAAATTCCTCCGTGCTTCGAAAACTTGCAGCAACTGAGTGCTTTGCATTTGAGTGGAAACAAGTTCAACGGGGAACTGCCATCAGTGTTGAAGACACTGAAACTTCTATGGGAACTTGATCTCAGCGGGAATAATTTCACAGGCAACATACCTGAATGGATCGGCGAAGAGTTATCCGAATTGAGCACCCTTTACCTTCAGTCCAACAACTTCAATGGTGCGATTCCGTCATCTTTCAAGAACTTGAAGCTCTTAGCTAGCCTTGACCTCACCAGGAATCACCTCACGGGCACCTTACCAGATTGGATTGGTGAAGAGTTACCTGATTTATATAGCCTTAGGCTTCAGTCGAACAAATTCTACGGCGCGCTTCCATCATCATTGAAGAACTTGAAATCTTTAGTGAACCTTGACCTCAGCAAAAATGAATTCAGCGGCACCATTCCGGATTGGATTGGCAAGTTATCAGACTTGTCGCTCCTTATCCTTCAGGTGAACAACTTCCATGGGGAGCTGCCGGCGACAATGAAGAACTTGAAATACTTAACAACCCTTCATCTGGGCTGGAATCAGTTTACAGGAACCATACCAGAATGGATCGGCGAAGAGTTACCGGAATTGTTGGAACTTAGACTTCAGTCTAACAATTTCTCTGGTAATATTCCTGTACAACTTTGCAAATCGCCCCTCCTTAGACAATTAGCACTGGCAAACAACAGTTTAACAGGATACATCCCAGATTGTTTTGCTAATTAATAAGAGTGTGGTGGTGAAACTAATGTTGCAAGAAAAAAAAATTAATGTATTGATGCTGGTCAAATAATTAATGTATTAATTAGATGGTTTTGCCAAAAAAAAATAATAATAGAGCTGGTGAAGAATATATTGATGCTGGTAAAATAAAATTAATATGGCAATCCGGCAGGTCCAACTCTGTTGTGTTCAACTTGTTGCCCTGAAACAAATGGCGTCTAAAGATGACTATAATACAACGACCCAGACTAAAAAATTTTAAATGTATTGTTTGATAACAGTGCACCCATTTAAACTTTCTGAAGAAATTCCCCATAAATATTCCTCATTATCACATTGGGCACCAATACCGTTATTACTGTTCAAGTTGATCATAGTAATGGCCACCATAGAAAAGTTGCTGATTATAATTAGTTTTTGTATGTTGGGCCAGTTATTATTCCCCTCAATTGGGCCTAGCATAATGAAACCAAAATCAAACATGGATTTGGTTTGTTTGACCGAAATAGAAAAAAAAAAACCAAGTCCAATTTGGACTAGTTTTTGGTTAGGACGTGGGCTATAATCCCATGGTCCTTGGTGCTTTTTGGTCATGAGTTTTGCGCAAGCAAAAAGTAGCTGCCGCATTAGTTTTTTGTGCGAGAGAAGAAGGGAGATAAAACTAGGGTTCCGGGGGTTCGGTGTTGCGAGAAGAAAGTGTTTCACTTTAAGGCTTTGATCGGGTGACGAAACAGAGTCAAATATTGGTGCAAGTTTGCATGTGTATTCCTCTCAACAAAATCTACAATTCTTCTGATTTAGTTTTCGGTTTAGCTCTCTTTTGATGAGATCCTTCTAATCCTACTTTGTGATAGGTGTGCGTGGAAGAGTATTGTTGTAATCTACCTTTGGGTGACGTCCGGGGTATCCACCGGTTGGTGAAGACTGTTTTCCATTATTGTGATAGTGGAGATTTGACTGTTGTTGCAGTCTTGTGGTTTTTCTCAATTTGGATTTTTTACGTAAATCTGTGAACCTACTTTACTTTATCAGTTCTTTGATTGTTTGCTTGTTTGGTTGTCCTATTTTATGGGTAGTAGGAAAGGAGTTTTTCCTGAGGTTCGTTTCCGCTAGTTTATTATGTTTATTCCCTTTCTGCCACAACAGTGGTATCAGAGCTATGGTTCAGTAGTTGAGGTGTTACACCAATAAAATGGAAGAGTCATCGAGGGCTGGTACGATGATTAAATTGACTTCATCGAATTATCATATGTGGAAACCTAGAATAGACGACTTGTTGTATTGCAAAGATTTGTTTGATCCTGTTCAGGGGATGAAGGTAAGCCAAGTGATGATGCACAGGAAGACTGTTGGTAATATTCGACAATGGATTGATCAAAGTGTGTTTCATCACTTTTTGGGAGAAACAAAAGCTGATGAACTTTGGGAGAAAATCCAGAATATGTACTGGAAGAAGTCCGGTATTAATAAGCCATCTGCGCTGAAACGGATTACCAGGTTGAGGTACAAAGATGGTGCTAGCATGAATGAACACTTGAGTTCGTGTCAGAATTTGTTGAACCAGACAGTGAATATAGGTTTAAAGTTGGATGATGAGGTGCAGGCTTTGCTATTGTTTAGTTCTCTTCTAAACAGTTAGGACACTTTGGTAGTGTCAATCAGTAATTCAACCCAGGATGGTGTCTTGACCTTGGATCAGGTCAAAGAGGCTTTGATGAATGAAGAACTCAGGAGAAAAGAGTAGAGTATTGAGTCTGAGTTGAAGGCTCTGGTGACAGAAAAGTCAAATAGAAGAGGAAGAAGTAAAAGCTAAGGGCCACGTGATCGGAACGACAAGTCTAGGGGACGGTCTAAATCTAAGAAAGATGTCGTGTGATACCATTGTCAAGGGAATGGGCACTTTAAAAGGGAGTCCAGAGTTCTCAAGCGAGAACTATCAGCTAGAAAAGGATAAATCAAGTGATGATGACACTACTGCAGTAGTAACTACCAATTAATGTTGTGAGGCACGACAGTGATTGGTTTGGTGATTCAGGTGCGTCTTATCATGTGACGCCTCACAGACACTTCTTTACTTCTTACACACCTGGAGATTTTGGTCGTGTAAGAATGGGTAACCAAGCCTCATGCGATGTTGTCGGCATGGGAGAGGTATCATTGGTAACGAATACATGTTGTACTCTTGTCTTGAAGAATCTCAGACATGTTCCGGATATGCATCTGAACCTTATTTCCGTTGGCAAACTTGATGATGAGGGTTATCATAGCACTGAAGGTGGTGACCGTTGGGAAGTATTGCCGAGACCATGGCATTAAACTTCAGAAGAGTGTTCCGAAGACTCCACAGCAGAATGTTGTGACAGAAAGAATGAACAGAACTATTACCGAAAAGGTTAGGTGTATGATCTCGAATGCAAAACTGCCTAAATCTTTTTGGGGTGAAGCCATGCAGACAGCAATTGATTTGATCAACTTATCTCCCCCAGTGCCGTTGGATGGTAATCTACCACAACGAGTTTGGACAGGGAAAGATGTCTCATTTGGACATTTGCAAGTTTTTGCTTGTCGTGCCTTTGTTCATATTCCCAAAGACGAAAGGTCAAAGCTTGACGAGAAATCCAAGCAGTGTGTATTCTTGGGATATGGAATGATGATTTTGGGTACAGACTTTGGGATCCTGTAGAGAAGAAAGTTTTTAGAAGCAGAGATGTGATCTTCTTTGAAGACCAGACCATTGATGATATGGGAAAAGGCGAGATGCTAGAATCTTCACCAGAGATTCCTATTGATCTATATCCAATTTCTCCACAATTAGATGATTCTCAAGAAGGGGGAGCTGAGACAGAGCAGGATGGTAAGTTTGATGATGATCCTACTACTGAGACAGAGACACCACTAGTTTCATCACCTCCTGTACAGCCTAGGAGGTCCACCAGAGACAAGAGACCTTCCACCAGGTACAGTGCTCATGAGTATTTGTTGCTTATTGATGGGGGAGAGCCAAAGTGGTGTGAAGAGGTTCTTAGTCATGAGCAGAATGATCAGTGGTTAGCAGCCATGCAACATGAGATCAAATCCTTGCATGAGAATAATACGTATGACCTGGTGAAGCTACCTAAGGGCAAGAGAGTACTCAAGAATAGATGGGTGTTCAGACTGAAAACAAGTGAGAATAGCTTACAACCGAGGTACAAAGCTATATTGGTTGTGAAGGGATTCAATCAGAGAAAGGGCGTAGACTTTCATGAGATATTCTCTCCTGTTGTAAAGATGTCTTTGATTGGAGTTGTGCTTGGGATAGCGGTCAGCTTGAATTTTGAAATTGTACAGCTTGATGTGAAGATATCCTTCTTGCATGGTGATTTGGAAGAAGAGATTTACATGGAGCAAACCAGATGGGTTCCAAGAGAAGGGGAAAGAGAAGCTTGTATGTCGTCTCAATAAAAGCTTGTATGGGTTGAAGCAAGCTCCGAGGCAGTGGCACAAGAAGTTTGATACCTTCATGATAAGGTAGGGATACCAAAGGTTTACAGCTGATCACTGTGTGCTTGTGAAGAAATTCTCTGATGGTGATTTTATAATTCTTTTACTTTATGTCGATGACATGTTGATTGTTGGTCATGATACTGCAAAGATTGCCAAGTTGAAAAAGGAGTTGAATAAGTCCTTTGCGATGAAGGATTTGGGTCCGGCTAGACAGATCCTTGACATGAAGATTTCTCGTGACAGACACAATGGGAAGCTTTGGGTATCTCAAGAGAAGTATATCGAGAAGGTTCTTGATAGGTTTAATATGAGCGGTGCTAAGGAAGTCTCGACTCCACTTGTGGGGCATTTTAAGCTAAGCGAAATGCAGTGTCCTAAAAATGAGAAAGATAAGGAAAAGACAAAAAAGGTTCCTTATGCTTCGACAGTTGGCAGCCTGATGTATGTGATGGTTTGCACAAGGCCAGATGTAGCTCATGCAATTGGTATTGTTAGTTGGTTTCTTTCTAATCCTAGTAAGGAGCATTGGAATGCTGTTAAGTGGATTCCCAGGTATCTTAGGGGTACTTCCAGATTGAGTCTTTGCTTTGGCAATGGAAAGACCATGTTGGATGGATATACAGATGCTGACATGGCGGGTGACCTAGATGGTCGGAAGTCTAATTCTGGATACTTGATGACTTATAGAGGGGGAGCAGTTTCATGTCAGAGTAGGTTGCAGAAGTGTGTTTCTTTGTCTACTATAGAGACAGAGTTTATCGCAGATACTGAATCTTGTAAGGAAGCACTTTGGTTGCAGAAGTTTCTACAAGAGCTTGGCATGAAGCAAGAGAGGTATGTGGTTTACTGTGATAGCCAGAGCGCTATTCACTTAGCGAAAAATTCCACATTTAATTCATTCGCGGTCTAAACATATTGATGTGAGATATCATTGGATCCGGGATGTATTGGAGTCTGAGGCATTGTTTCTTGAGAAGATCCATACGGATAACAACGGTGCCGATATGTTGACAAAAAATGTGAGTAGAGACAAACTCCTGTTTTGCAGACAAGAAGCAGGTTTGGTTTTACCCCTCAATTGAGGTGAAGGGAGAGATTGTTGGGCCGATTATTATTCCCCTCAATTGGGCACAGCATAATGAAACCAAAATCCAGCTTGGATTTGGTTTGTTTGACTGAAGTAGAAAAAAAAAGACCAAGTCCAATTTGGACTAGTTTTTGGTTAGGCCGTGGGCTATATAATCCCATGGTCCTTGGTGCTTTTTGGCCGTGAGTTTTGCACAAGCAAAAAGTAGCAACCGCACTAGTTTTTTGTGCGAGAGAAGAAGGGAGAGAAAAGTAGGGTTCCGGGATTTTGGAGTTACGAGAAGAAAGTGTTTCACTTTAAGGCTTTGATCGGGTGATGAAACAGAGTCAGTTATTGGTGCAAGGTTGCATGTGTGTTTCTCTTAAGAAGATCTACAATTCCTCCAGTTTAGTTTTTGGTTTAGCTCTCTTTTTGTGAAATCCTTCTAATCCTACTTTGTGATAGGTGGTGTGTGGAAGAGTATTGCTGTTATCCACCTTTAGGTGATATCCTGTGTATCCACCGGTTGGTGAAGATTGTTTCCCATTATTGTGATAGTGGAGATTTGACTTTTGTTGTATTTTCGTGATTTTTCCCAATTTGGGTTTTTCACGTAAATCTGTGCACCTACTTTACTTTATCAGTTCTTTGATTGTTTGCTTATTTTGTTGTTCTATTTTATTGGTAGTAG